TCTTGTCAAAGCAGGGCATCACTGCCACGTGGTAGATCTGTTGTGGACTAAGTCCCTAAAAAACAAACAACAGACAGCTTAGCCACTAGACATAGAGTTACAATTCAATTAACTCGTGGCTTTGATTAGGCCATGTTAACCCATGAATATGCTTTTGATCCAGGCCACTCTTGTTGTCGCTCTGGATCTTTGTGCAGGGATTCATGTCCTCTAATTCTGTCTCAAATTTTTGCTGCTTTTTTGGGCTTGCCACATATTCCGTTTAAACCTTTTTCCTATTAGGATTAATCATGGGGAGCATTGCTGATATATTATGCTGCCATCATCATGTTTCACAATATCGAGAGTGTTATTTCAATAAAACCAAAGCTCAATTTTAGTTTTGTCTGACCAGATAAACTTCACATTTCATGTGTCCCCCAGATGCCTTGTGACAAATTCCAGACAAAACTACTTTGGCCCTATTTTTTCATCAATCGCTTTATCTTTTTCCATTTCCATAAGGTGAAATTTTTGGTCTGCATAACTAAGAGTTGTCCTATCACCTGATTCTTTTGGATCTCTATCATAGAAACAGAAAGACACATTTTGAATGAGGTGGGAAACTTTCTGCTTGGCACCGAACTTCCCCATCTGTATCCATCAGTATCCGTTCAAAGAATACCTGCTGTTCTGCAAAGTAGCCTTTCACCAGAGAGCCCATCATCTGCTGCGGAGAGCGAGTGGTGCTGATGTACGGAAGAATGTACTCGCCGTGTGTCTTCTCTGCATAACAGATCCAACCTAAACAAAACGTGCAGGAAAAGCAGCTGATCAGTGAAAAAAAATGGTGGTCATATGGCTCAGATTCATCAGATTTTCAAAAACAGAATATATAAATCCAAAATGTGCTTCACTTCCTGGTTTGAGTATACTTTTATATTTCTGTAACTTTCATAGTATGAACAGATTAAAAGAATTGACTTTATTTTTCTGCTTTGATTAAATCTGGGGTACCTGGACAGGCGGATGTCAGCATAGGCAGGGCTTTGCTGTCCTGTTCTTTCCGACTGAAACGCTCCAGAAACTCTCTCTGACTTTCCAGCAGACTGAAGGTCCGACTAAAGCTGGTGTCAAACACATGATGAACACCTGGAAAACAAGAGATTTTAGAGAGAAAAAAAAATCCATCTGTCTGAATTATGTAAGATTTTACTCAAGATAAAGAGAACAAACCAAGGCCTTTGAGGAAAGATGTGAGCCTCCTGCCAGCCTCACTGCTGCTGAGTTTGTAGTGTGCTGCGAGGGAGGCTCTTGACTGTGGTGATACTGAAACTACTACAACCTTCTGCTCTGTCTCTTTGGTCTGTGAGGGAAGATGAAAGGATGCAGATAGGAAACAATAACACATGAAGCTAAAAAAAAAATGTAACTAAAACTGTAAAACTATTACTAGCAACACAATTCAGCTGTACCTTATTGTTCTGTAGCACTTTTAAAAGCTCCTCGTGGCTCTGCTGCGTGATGAGGACGCTCTCGGCTGAAGTGATGCAGCCACTACAGGCCAAACAGTCATTCAGGGTAATCTTTGCTCTCTCCAGCTTTTGTTTCCCTCCATCCTTTAACAACAGATATGATACGTTTTAAAGGGACCAGTTAAGACTTTAGCAAGTCCCCAAACAGTTTCATAGAAAATTATCTTCAAACATTTCATGAAATTTGACAAACTTTATTCAAAAATGTGATTGTTTTAGAAATAGACCCACATGTTATAAGTTGGTGCTTTCAAAACAAACCAATCACAATAGAGTCACAGTGGATCTGCAGTCTTAAGCTTCCAGCAAATACTTTTTGATATATTTTTAAAATAAATCAATAACTGCCCTTTATCAAGACTAGAGACCCTTTTTATAATCAAAAGAGAAAAGCAGGTAATCATAAGCATATCAGCTATGGACCACAAATCCTAGGCTGAATTACTTGTAGTGCTACAGTGCCTTAATGAGCCATTAATGTCACTGTGCAGTATTAGTCTGGTGTTAGAGGGAACATAGACTATGACACCCACCTGATTGACTTGTACATAACTTCCATCATCCTCAATCTGTATCTTCGTCACAGATTTACCTTGTTTCTTCTCAACTTTGACTGGTTTGACACATTCCTATGTAATAAAAATTACAACAATTCTTTGTTAATTTCTTAAGCCAAAACACTAAAAGTTGTCTAAGTAACAGACAAGACAGGAAAAGGAAAGCATAAACCTGGACTCTGGCCTCACAGTTGGTTGAATGTTCATGCTATTACATTTGAAACTATGTCAACTTTTAACAATATATCTTCAAATCAATAGAACTCTGTTCTTCCAGTGACCTTCTCATTATCTGAGCCAGTATAGTTGGGGAAGTGTTTCTCTAGGATCCCCAATAATGATAATTAATAGTAAGAGGAATTGCTGAATGCTGAATTTTAAAATCTTTAAAATACATACTAGGTTTATCATTTGACTTTCTTTGATGACAAATAAATAACCAAAATTTTTGCTGATTTACGTTTAGTTTCTTATATATATATATATATATATATATATATATATATATATATATATATATATATATATATATATAAGTGTGGAAGCATAAAAAGGATTTTATTTCATAAATCTAAGTATTCTAGAACTATCAGAGAACTGAGTGGACTGATATCAGCACTCTTACGTCACATCCCTATCATTAGCAAGGTAACTTATTGTGTTTTTACGGCTTTATTTAGCATTGTGTCAGCAATAATAGCTCAGCCAAACAGTAAACATTGGTTTATGAAGATCTTTAGAAACTAACCGTTGAATGTTTTACGCTGTATGTTTGTCAGTGATAAAATATTGCAAAGCAACAACAACAGCTCGACCAACTGCTAGCTACTTCGACCGCGTTTTTTCGCCATTAGAATGTGATATAAATGAAGACGAAACAATTATGTTTATCTACTTCTTTCTTAATCAATCTCGAACAACGTTTTGTTATATTAGTTGAAGCAATCGACCTGGGACGGGGTGATAAAATCGTCAAGATCTGTTAGCTGCAGGACACCGCTGAAGTGAGACGCCATATTTACTGCCGCAAAGTTGTTTGTTTACATTTGTGTCGTGAAGTCTTCTTTTTCTTCTTCTTGTTGGATTTATTGGCGGTTGGCAACAAACAGTTAGTAGCATTACCGCCACTTACTGGTATGGAGCGTGGCTCGTGATGGATTATCTACTTAATAAACGTATATATATAATTTCTTAGGGGGAAAATGAAAACAAAAAACTACATTCTTATGTGCCATGAAGTCTTACTCAACTTCATTCACAACGGTGCACACTGCGCAGAAAAAAAAAAAAAAACTTCAGTCAAATTATAAATTGTGTAAACTGTGCCTTATATTATGAAAGTTGCAACAGATGTTTAAGATACCTTTATTAAATGTCATCTAAGATAAATATTAAAGGAGATATAAAAAAAACACGCAATCGTTATAGGAAAAAGCATTACATTAGTCTGCTAATGTTTTTTGAACTTATAGCTAAAATGTTGGACACTTCTTCTAAAAACAATAAGCCAGCATACTTTCTCAAATTAATTTTCGCTAAATAGGGTTCTTAATAACATTTTACAATACAATACAATTGTCTTTTTTTTTTTTTTTTTGCTTATAGTTTTCTATTGATATGTTACTTGTTCTGTTGGAAAGAACTGTAGCCTATACAACTTATTTTATTTATTAGGGGGGCCACATGCCGAAGGCATGGCCCACCTATTACTATTGCACATATTTTTTATTAGTGCTGTATTAAAAAACACTGATAAAAAAAATAAAACTTACAAAAAATAAAACAGTCAGGGGCTCCATGGTGCATTTTGGTTTAGTACACTTTCTCAGTCTAACTGTCTTAAACATTTTGAATCTTGTGATGATATGATTGTTTTGCCTGGCCACTTGCATATGAGATAAGATCCAACAGCGAAATGTTACCGTATATTTCAAAAACATTTAATGTTTTTATGTTTGCTGTGATCTTAAATATTCACAGTGGTCTCTGCATGGTGCTTACTTTTGGAAAACAACACATAATAAAAAACACAGCTTTCTCTAACCCATATTTCTTTCTGTATGCAAACATTTGTTGCAAAGTGTAATGTGATCTGCAAGGAAACTTAGCGTGGGTATATAAGGGATCATTAAGGTCATACACAACCTTTAGAAAGGCGTTTTGAAATATTCAGAGAACCTGGGGTCAACATTTCATGAAGATTCTCTGTGGATCAGTTACAGCATTCAAAATGACTTTTTTAATGGTATCTTTATGGAAACTTTAGAGCTCTTGCACACAAACTGCTCAGCTTCCACCGCACAAGATTGCAGAGGCAGTGACTGCTGACCCCTCCTTTTCCCTGCATGACTCCTTTCTGTAAATGCAGGTAGATGATACAAAAACACCCCAGGATGAGGAAAAGATAATAACGATTAAAAAAAACTATCTAACCTCTTTTCAGTTGCTATTTGTATAGAATAAAATAAGCTGTCTATTTAAGACTCCAAGAATTTTAATAAAATTATCCCTGGGATGGTTTTGTTAGCTTTTTTTTTTTTTTTTTTTTTTTTTTTTTACTTTTGGAATGGATGAGTACTTTTAACAAAAAAATTTTAATGATGAAGCTTTGCTAAATTATCATCAACTGAACCTACATAAATTAATTCAATATGTCTGCTAAATCAAATAAGCATGGATTATACATAGCTGGCTTCTCTATTCCTCAAGAGCTGTTATTTTATTATTATTCATTTAGATTAATGTCTTGTAGAGCAAAACAGAAATTTATGTTCCTGGTTTTCTGGTTTCAAATACACCACTTTCCAACTGTGTGACGTAGTTTTAAACAAAAATGCTTCATTAGAGTATATGTTAATTCGTTTGGCAGTTTATGAACTAAATTTTATAATTTCTAGGTGCACGGGCTTTTGAGTTGTTATGACGACGCGGTCGTAAATCCGCCATGTTTGCTCCCGCCCCGCCGCTGCGCTGCGTTGCGACAGAGACGGAGAAGTCAAACGACATGAATGCAGAAAATAATCATACGGCAGAAACAGAGACGGAGCAAACGACGAACGGCATCGACACCATCACCATCCAGACTACTCTGGGAGACGAAGGTAAGACTCCTGACTGAATAAAACCGGTTTAATTTATACACAAGTTTCAGGTGTGGGCCTTGCTAACTTCCCCCAATATGAAACTGAGCTAGCAGCAGCTAACTAACATGCTACATCGTTGTAGAGACTCAGAGGTTGATGCTATTTTGAAAAGTTTGAATCAAACATGGATCGCGTTGCAGCGGTCAGGATGGAATGAAGAAGAATCAGAATAAAAACCTCATATATAAACACTTATATGTATTGATTTGCGTTATTTTAGACGATGATGTCCACAAGTGCGGGCGGTGTCAGAGCGAGTTCTCCAGCCTGGATGCGTTCATCCAGCACAAACTGCAGCAGAGCTGCAAACGGCTGGAGACCCAGGAGGCCGAACAGCAGGTACGTCACCAGAAACTGTTAAACTCAGATTATAATTACAGGTACGCTAAATTACGATGGATTTGCTCAAAAAGACTTGAGTCTTTCTGCATGGAGTTTACATGTTCTCCCTGTGCATGCGTGGGTTCTCTCCGGGTACTCAGGCTTCCGTCCACAGTCCAAAAACATGACTGTTAAACCCAGATTATTAGATGTATACTAAATTACTATTGGGTTTGCTCAACAAGACTGAAAACACGACTGGATGAATTAGAGGAGAGCAAAGATAGATTTAAGAAGTGGATTGCATCTCCAAGGATGGTAAACCGTCCACGGATCAAACAGGGAGTGCTCTGATGCAGGGATGTAAACTTTCTTCCATTTTTTTTCTCCCAAATCCTAAAAATATAAATCACACCAAGGAATGATGGTGGCGGAGGATGTGGTATTTCAGGGTTAGAGAGCTCTGCTCTGATGGATGTCAGTTACTGCTTGGTTCCTCATGACTCCATAAACTCCTCCAAACAGAAACATGTCCACCATAGAAAGATTCCTTTATAGTGTGTCTATAATTTCATCAATGCAACAAAACTTAAACCGTGTGGTGAAACGGCGCGCAGTGAGAGCGTTCACTGCTCATCCATCACCTCATGCTGCTATGTAACATTTGCTCCAGGATAAACATTTATTCCATATCTTAATATATATTTAAGCCCACATGGTCCTTTTTTATAGTGGATAATACACTTAGAGCCCATGTTGACATACGAGGCATATATAAGACTTTTACATTTTTTTGGCTGCAGACGGGTTTATTTATTTGTTTTTTTTGGTCTAATATGGCTCTTTGAGCAGTTTGGGTTGCTGACCCCTGCCCTGCGATGGACTGGCGAGCTGTTCTGGGTGTATCCCGCCTCTCGCCCATGGACTGCTGGAGATAGGCACCTCATGATCCCTCTGGGAATAAGCGTGACGGGAAATGGATGGATTTTACATTTTTTGCAGAAAAAGTGTTCAGTTCAACAGACATGGAAGTCTTTTCAATATTAAAGTAAAACATAAATAAATTCTAATAAATTTCCCTTGCAAGCAGTTATCGAGTTTTGGGGGGATGGGATCCCCCTTCTTAAAAATATCTTGAAAATCCTCCCCATTCTTAAATGACCATCCTCCCATACCATCCAACCCCTGTGACATTTTATTACTGAATGTGTAAAATTTCTACTATATATTCACAGTAATGGCGATAATATCTTCTTTTCAACATTTGGCGGACTGCAGTCTTAAGAGTAGCCTGAGCAAAATAAATAAAATCAATCACCATGACTATGAAGCTGATCCCAGGGGGAATATTATTCCCTGAATATGTAGGGGCAGTGATCGCCATGCCTGTCCAGGGACTGACTGCAGATCTACTGTAAGGTTGGTCAAGGTCAATGACCGGCGTACCTGACATGTTAAAACCATACCATGCATATCTTTTTAGGTTACTAGTCCATATTAATTAGGCTATTTTTTCCCTTAAAAAAACAAATAATAATCTACCACCCACCTTCTTTATTTTTAAAGGAGAAGTTCGGTTTTTTACACTTTAAGCCCATTTTCTGTAGTGTCCAGGATGAAATCGAATGATCGACACCAAAAGTTTGACAATTGCTCCTGTCTCTGCTTTTTGGCTCATTTAGAATCAACCCCTGGCTGCTTTAGAATGGCTAGCATAGAGCATGTCCGATAATGTCCTTAAAACAACCTTAAACGTTCTTTTTTTAAAATATGCTACTCACCGTGTCGTCAGCGCTGTTCAATGACGTTCCAAAAAAAGTTTCGTGAAGAAAAAACGTTCCTGTAGTGTTTTATTTAGCATTTTGTAAATCCCATTGAGTTCTGTTGGAATAGTCAATATTCCGCTGCCACCGGAAACGGAAATGGAGCCTGTTTACACAGTTGTAGTCTTTTCGCTTCACTCTGTGTACTCCGACGTCGAGAATCAAGAATCCACCTTTCGTATTCCATTTTCAGAGTTTTTTTAAAGTGTTTAACAGAGACGTTAGCACCTCGACGTCCTTTAACTAGACCACTGCTTGTAAATAATAAAACAGTAACTCACCTATTTTTATACCTTGTTTACTACATTAAATGCACCATTCGAGTCATAAGGTGCGTTTGGACCCAAGATATTTATGTTATATAATTTATCCTGATTAATAGACGATTTTTCTTCTTTTAGAACGAATTGATGTATTACGATTCAGTCACTCGAAAAACATTGGAACTCTTTAGCCGAACATGTAACCAGGCTGATAAATTTGCGGATAAACAAACGTAATTAAAAAAATTAATTGCAATTAATTCACATTTGGTTTTACGTTCAACTAACGCTATAAATTAAATCAATAGGAGGTTAGCCTTTGTTTTATTATTTTAGGTAATTAAACATTTAAGTCTAAGTGCACAAAGCACAATAAATATTTTAACAGTATTTAAAATAGCTGCTTCCACTGCTTTTGTTTATTTGTTACAACTTTACCATAAAGTAAAGTAAAATATCTTTTCTGGCTGAATGGAAAGTAGATTTACTTTCTTCTTCCACTGCTGTTTTTCAATAGAAAAGTATAACAAATAGAACATTAATGTAAAAGATGCATGCAACCAACATGGCTTTGGGTTAACTGAGCAGTCATTGTTATAAAGAAACTGCACATGATCTTGCTGTGGTTCTTTGCATATAAACTAGTCGTGTTGTTTTTCTCTCCAGCGGAGGTTATGCAGTCTCTAACTGTGCATTTTGGCGAGGCTTCTGAGAGATAATGGTCAGCTCTTCAGAAGCCTCAAGGCATGATGGGCTGACGTTACCTTAATAATTCTTATATTTAAGTCACTGATTTGTAAAGACTCAACAAGTTCATCCTTAATATGTTTATATGATTAGTGTAAGTTGCGTATATGGTTACAATGGCTTGTATGTTTTCTTTTCTAGGTCTCTTCACACACTGGAAGCTCTACTGCCAAGATAAAAGCTCAAGGTGTATCTGCTGACCACTTTGTACTGCTTTGTTTAATCCTAGAAAACCTTTAACTTATTCAGTTTGAAACTTAAAAGATTATTATTTAAAGGGAAACGCTGTTTTTTTTACATTGGGCCCTTGATTTTACGTTATTACATCATGTTCTACTCACCCATATGAGTTTTGTGTCATTTGGAGCTGTTCTGAAGATATTCCGTTAGGTTATATCCAAGTAATGTCTTCCTATGGGCAACAAGTTGAAGGCACAAACTAAACTGTTCATAATTTATCATTTATGGTTCGCCAGCATTCATAACATGTAGGTGAATCACTGTCCCCCAGACATCCGCGGTTATATTTCTTATATTTATATCTTTTAAAAACAAAGAGGAGTGTGTATGACATCATCCGCACGCCGGACTGGAGTAGTGACAGGCAGCCCGGGCTACAGGTTGCTACGCTCTAACCGTTATATTAATTCGGCAAGCGAATCTGAATCGTTCAATTCCATTTGGAGAGCGAGATCATCTGTGGTAGTAGCACTAGACATCTTCCAGGCATGTAAGTAATACTAGGAGCAATTCAGCAGACAGGAAGAATGAATGGTAGCTAGCGTGCGCTGATGACGTCATACATGCACCGCTTCATTTTTAAAAGATATATATATATATATATATATATATATATATATATATATATATATATATATATATATAAAATATAACCGCAGATGTCTGGGTGACAGTGATTCGCCTCCGTTATGAATGCTGGCGAACCATAAATGATAAATTATGAACAGTTTAGTTTGTGTCTTTAACTCGTTGCCCATAGGAAGACGTTACTTAGATATAACAAAACAGAATATCTTCAGAACAGCTCCAAATGACACTAAACTCATATGGGCGAGTAGAACATGATGTAATAACGTAAAATCAAGGGCCCAATGTAAAAAAAAAAACTGTTTCCTTTTATTTTTTGACGACCATTGTAACTTGTATTCATTCTGTATATTTATTTATACATTTTTTTGATCTGTTGTTCTAAATATCTGTCTTCCTTGTTTGTTGCACAGATGAATCTGCTGGTCTCATGGGTCGAGGTCACAGGAAGAAAACTGCATCTGTTAAAGTTGCCGATCAGCCTGACAAAAGCACAGAGTTTGTGTCTGAAAACGCTGACGGCGAACGGCAGACTTTCAGAGTTAATCAAGAGGGGCGTTATGTTTGCCACCTTTGTGAAAAAACATTTAAAACTGTGAGTCAAACGTTTGATGAAACGCAGAATGTAAAAAGCTTAGTGGTTGTTTCTAATTTCTTCCCTTTATATGATTGTTTCCCTTTTTAGACCAACATCTTGAGGACTCATATGAAAACTCACAGTGACCAAAAGAATTTCTCATGTGAACTGTGTGGGACTTTATTTCGTACCAAAGGCTCGCTGATTCGTCACAACCGCCGGCACACAGGTGTGGAAAATAAGCTTGGCACTATTAAAATAAACTCTGTCAGAAACCCAAATTGTTCCATTGTTCTGGGTGTCCTTTTTTAACAGATGAGCGGCCATATCGGTGTACCCTCTGCGGACAATCCTTCAGAGAGTCGGGGGCTCTCACCAGGCACCTTAAATCTCTGACTCCCTGCACAGAGAAGATCCGCTTCTTCCAGTATAAGGAAATCCTCGTCAGCAAGGATGGGGTGCAGAAAGGTCAGACTGATTTTTGAGGAAAAGGACTTTAGTTTGGTAGCTCAACTCCGGTCTTAATTCTCTATCCTGATTATGTGTTTTCCAAACAAACCAGCATGCTTTTCTTCTTTCTTTTGTAGTCAAAAGAACAGTTGCATTCCTCTATCAGTCTATTCATAAATCGCTCCAAAAGTTATCCACTAATCTGTGCATGCAATCTTTGCATATAACGTTTCATTTTTTCCTTTTCCCAGCTTTCTGTGCGACCAAACTCCCTTCATCTAGTCCTTCCTTTCTAACATTGCAGAAGTGTTTTAAGGTTTCTCATTTAAATCCTGAAATTAAATGTTAATGGCAAACTTTGAGGTTTGATTATGAAAAAGTCTCACATTTTAAATTGGAAAATGCTTGAGAACCTTAAATATAATATTGATTATTACAGGTATCTGGCTGACATCCTCTACCATTTATTTTGTTTGTTGTAGTTTTAGAATATGGGCGAACTAAAACGTGCTCGGGTCAGTTTGGCAGCATATTTAATAAAGATTCCAACCAGCAGTATAACAAGCAATTTGAAAGTTAATTTAGTTTTGGGCTGCAACAAAAGATCACTTTCCAAATCCATTATCTGTCGATTATTTTGTTGTTAAAAATAGGAGAGCCCAAGGTTCCGTAAAGAAAACTTAAATGAAATCAAACCAGGTGAAACTAAAACCTTTCCTCTTGAGAGTTCTGAATAGAACATATTGACAGACGGAAATTTTATTTTTTATTTTTTGTTAATCTTAAATGTAAAATGTTTGTATATATATATTTTTTTTACAATTTTGGTATAATTACTGCTCTAAGTGGGTTGGTCTGTCAGCTAAAAGCATGTTTTAGAGTCTCTGTACTCGAGTTAACGATTAATCGATTACCAAATTAGTTGATTACAATAATCTATTAATCCAATTAATTGTTTCAGCCCTAATTTAGTTTTAATTTTCTAAATCCTTCCAGTACCTTCAGTTTGGAAGGTGGGCTATGCCTAACCATGTTAACCGTCCATTGCCTACCATGGGATGTTAAAGAGGCAATAGGTTGTAATGACAGTTAAGAGAAAGCAAAGCTTCTAAACAGGTATGATTGTTTCAGGTGTTGAAGCTGATCGAACCCCAGCAGTGTCCCAACAAGAGGTGGTTGTTGTGGAGCAGCAAGCAGAGGAGCAGGAGACAGTTGAGGCTCAGACTGCTGTGGTCAGCGTGGTGGGGGCCGATTCCCAAGAGATCCTCCGTGAGGTTCACTTTACAATGGAGGTGGATGGAACAACACAGGAGCAGCAGGTGAGTGAGCATTCTGATAGGTCTGTTTCTCTTTGGTTTCTAGCATAAGCTGGTATTAATGTTTTGTTCGGACCAGGTGGTGGTCGACCAGTCTCAGGCTGATGCTCTGGCTGTGGCCGCCGCTGCAGGTGAAAGCCTCATCTGCCAGGCCATCATCAACTCCGGCATCGCACTGGGCACGGAGGAAACGGTGGTGGAGGAGGAAGCTTCTCAGAACACACAGGAGGTGGAGAAGGACATCTCTGACACGGTTAATGAGGATCAGAGTGTGATCGAGATTCAGGTTAAAGAAGAGTTTGAAGAGATGGAGGAAGTATGTAGCATATGTTTTGTTCTGAAAAGGGCCACCTTGGAGGAATTTCCATGAATTAAAACCATTTTCTTCTTCCATGGATAGGAAACAGCTGGCGACCGAGGATCCTCTAAACTATATACTTGTCCACACTGTAACCGGTCATTTAAAGGCGCAAATTATTTCCGTTTTCATGTCAAAGGTCATTCAGGTAAGTCTACATCGAGCTATTTCCAAAATGTAGTATTTTTGAGAGTATACAGTGAGGAAAAAGGCATTTGAACACCCTGGTCATTTGCAAGTTCTCCCACTTAGAAATCATGGAGGGGTCTGAAATTGTCATTGCAGGTGCATGTCTGCTGTGAGAGACATTATCTAAAAAGAAAAGTCCAGAAATCACAATAATTTTTTTATTATTTATGTGATGTAGCTGCAAATAAGTATTTGAACGCCTGATAAAATCAATGTTAATAATTGGTACAGGAGTCTTTGTTTGAAATTACAGAGGTCAAACCTTTTTCTGTAGTTTTTCACCAGGTTTGCACTCACTGCAGGAGGGATTTTGGCCCACTCCTCCACACAGATCTTCTCTAGATCAGTCAGGTTTTTGGGCTGTCACTGAGAAACATGGAGTTTGAGCTCCCACCAAAGCTTCTCTGTTTGGTTTAGTTCTGGAGACTGGCTAGGCCACACCAGAACCTTGATATGCTTCTTCCAGAGCCACTCCTTGGTTATCCTGGCTGTTTGCTTCAGGTTATTGTGATGTTGGAAGACATAGCCTTGACCCATCTTCAAAGCTCTAACTGAGGAAGGAGGTTGTTCCCCAAAAATCTCACAATACATGGCTCCGGTCATCCTCTCCTTAATGCAGTGCAGTCATCCTGTCCCATGTGCAGAAAAACCAAAGCATGATTCTACCACCTCCATGCTTCACAGTAGGGATGGTGTTTTTGGGATGGTACTCATCAATATTCTTCCTCTCATCTGACCACATGACTTTCTCCCATGACTCCTCTGGATCATCCAAATGGTGAATTACAAACTTAGGACGGGCCTTGACATGTGCTGGTTTAAGCAGGGGAACCTTCTGTGCCATGTATGATTTCAAACCATGACGTCTTAGTGTACTACTAACAGTAACCTTGGAAACTGTGGTCCCAGCTCTTTTTAGGTCATTGACCAGCTCCTCCCCTGTAGTTCTGGGCTGATTTCTCACGTTGCTTAGGATCTTTGAGACCCAACGCAGTGAGATCTTGCATGGAGCCCCAGTCTGAAGGAGATTGACTGTCATGTTTAGCTTCTTTCATTTTCTAATGATTGCTCCAATAGCGGACCTTTTTTTTTTCACCAAGCTGCTTGGCAATTTCCCTGTAGCCCTTTCCAGCCTTGTGGAGGTGTACAATTTTAAAGGAATCAGAGTTCTTACTGAAATATGGGGGAACACGTGTCTTTATGCAGCTAACGACCTCAAACAAATGCGGTTAATTATTATTATTTTTTTTTTAATTGTCTCTTACGGTGGACATGTACCTACAATGACGATTTCAGATCCCTCCATGATTTCCAAGTGGGGGAAGGTGCTTGCAAATCTTTTTAATGTAGATGATTGTTGGCTTATCTGATCAGTTCGTTTGTTCTTGTTGTGCAGGTTATAAACCTTTTAAGTGCACAATATGTCAGAAGGAGTTTCTAACCGGCTACCTGTTAAAGAAACACATGGAGGTCCACGTCAGCGAGAGGAGGTATAAATGCGGTGAATGCGGCAAGCTGTACAAAACTATCGGACATGTACGGGAACACATGAGGGCCCATTCAGATGAAAGACCCTACCACTGTCACCGATGCAACAAGGGATATAAAACCAAGGTGGTTTATAGTAGATGCACATATGCAGCAAAAAAAGATTGGTGGCAGTTTAATGCTGATTTGAAAAAGAAAACAATTAACATTTGTATTAACATTTCTTTCAGAATGCACTACAAGTTCACCAACGGACCCACGGTGATGAGAAACCCTATGTTTGTGAGTTCTGCTTCCGAGGCTTTAGAGAAAAAGGCTCCCTGGTGCGACACATTCGGCACCACACCGGAGAGAGGCCATTTAAGTGCCCTAAGTGTGGGCGGGGCTTCGCTGAGCATGGGACTCTCAACCGACACATGCGGGCTAAAGGTGAGAGTGAATGGCAGAATATATGTAAAGGACTCGAGTGTTTTGTGCTCTTATACAGGCTGGCCTTATACTGGTTTGTTTTTACACCAGGGGGCTGCAATAAAGAGAACTCCAAGGAGCAGCAGGGCTCTGCGGTAGAGGAGCAGGTGTCTGCAGACAGCCTCAGCGCAGAAGAAGTCAACGTGGAAGATCCTCACACTGTCCTGGTGGAGTTCTCCTCAGTGGTGGCACACACACAGGATTATATTATAAAGGTGAGAGAAAGAAAAACAAAAATGGTTTTTGAATCAAATAATCTTTTATTTGATCAATTATATGGTTTTCATTTAATGTGAATTAATTACAGACCCTATAAATAAAAAGGTCTGAAGAGCTGACCGTTTAATGGTCCCACCACTAATTAAAATACATCTAGTAGTAGTTTCTGATGAATCATCAATCGCTTCTCTCAAGATGCTCGAACTCTTAAAGTATAGGAGTTCAAGCATCTTGGGTCGAGTAAGGGGAGAATGGACGGATCTGCTACTGCAAAGCAGACGGTGCACTGGTCTGTTATGATAAAAATAAAGTCTGAATGAAAAGGTGAAGCTCTCTAATTAAGGCTCGGTCTATGTTCATATCTTCTCCTTTGGTCTTGAATTCTGCATCAAAACTGAAAACGAGAGCTGGGATACACTGAGCTTTATGCAGGAAGCCTTTCACTCCTCAAAGCTTTACATGAAAAATATAACATAGATTTTTTCTTTTGCCTCTTTATTCTTTTACATCATTTAGACTGAAACCGGAGAGGGAATTCAGGAAGAAGTTACGCTCATTCAGGACAGCCAAAATGAGGTCAGTGTGCACGTCTGGGGAGCACCAAAGAGAACATATGCATATTCTATATTAAGGGTTGCTGACTGCGACATATAAGGAATTACATTAATGCATAAACAAAAGTTGTTGCTGAGCTGGTCTCACAAGTCTTAAATGTTTCTTTCTTGTCAGATGGGAAACCAGATCATGAAAGTGGTGCAGCAAATGGTCAGCCAGTCCCAGGGCGCGGGCAGCCATCAGATCATAGTGCGAAACGTTGGAGCAGACGAAGAAGGGGCCTCCATCTCTGACTGCGGGGACACCATCACCATCGCCACGCCGGAGAGCCTGACTGAACAGGTGGCCATGACACTGGCCTCTGCCATCAGCGATGGGACGTTGCTGGCCACGTCACGTGCTGCTGAGGACATTGAGGGGACTGTTACTATGGTTACAACAGAGGAAGCAGTTGAGCAGGGAATACAGATGGTGCAGCAGCAAGAGGAGTATGTCATCACCTCCCCAGAGGAGGTAGAGATTCAGACAGTTGTTTTATGATCAAATAACTCTTTTGGCTTTAGCTGCTGCCTGCTTTGATCTTTATGTATGTGGATGAGTAAGTGATGCATTTCAGGCCAAAGTTTTACAATGCTCACAGGGACAGAACTGTAATAGAATACATTTAGGGGGAAATGGTTTATTAAGTAACTCCTCCTATCAATGCATTTGATGTGACTTTTGTGTTAAATCAAATAAACAGTGTTTATTATAGGTGTTGCATCCAAACTGAATGTTCAGTTTTTGTACGACCTGCAGGGTTCCTGCAGAGTTTGAACAAGCTTAAAATGGGGAAATGAAACCAAAATGAAGCTAAATTTGTTTAGATGCCACATTGCTTTAAAAGTCGGTGCCCATGTTTCCCTTTGCATTGTTCTTTTAAATAATCTCCCAGTAGTTTGTGGTTTTAACGAGTCTCAATGACTGACCCCATCTCTTTGTGATGTCATTCTTTCCCGTATTAGAAAAAAGGATTCATTTAAATCAGAATAAATGTTTTGTAATTAAACATGCGAGCAGGATAAATGATAGGAACTTTGCTGCTTTGGATATTGTATTTTCTTTTCCAGTTCTGTTCCCAGCTTCACGACTCAACCACCATCACGTTTTGAGCTCTGATTTGGAGACGTTGCTCTTTAAAGGTTGTGTGCTGCTCCTTGTCCAGGGCTTCCCATTATATTGTTACAAATTTTAGGGGAGTGTTCTTCAGCATTTCGTACAGATGCTCAAATTGAAGCACAGTTCATGTGAAATAAATGCTATTTTCTTAAATCTTTGCTTTCTAAGTTTTTTATTTTATTTTTATTTTTTGTAAATATAACACAAATATTCAGATCCCTTGGATATGCTGTGGTTGCTTTAAACAAGTTCTAAACTGCAAAATGCCCACCAATGTCCACTGGAGAATTTGCATTACATTTCCACGGTGACAGCAAAATAATGATGTAGGGATGCTTTTCTCCAGCAGAGAGAGATGAAGAGAATGATCGGAGCAGATGGGGAAACACAGCAGATGGGGAGGATTGTGTTCAAGGGTTTCTGCGACGTCTTAGAAATGAATGGAAATGAGTTTTATTATAGGCTTTAGCTACTTGTAAAGTTCCTCAGGTGCTATTTTACTGTAACAAAGCTCTAAAGTAAAATAATGCAGAGGAGCAACAAGCTTTGTTGATATAAATTTAGCCCCCATTCCAAAAGGAAGAAGATACTTCAAGTACTTCAGAGACTATTGACATTAAAATGCCCTTTTGAAGGATTAAAATGCAGGTCAGATAATAGATACTGCTTGGTTTACCCTGGCAAGTAGATCAATTCTTTGTTCCATAAGTGTTATTAAGGTTACTCTATTCCATATAGTGCTGATGCCCTCTAACCTCTGCATAAAACTGGGTGTCACTGTCTCCATCTCCACTTCAGCTGCAATTCCTGCAACTTTTTGATGTGCCCTTTGCTGAATGCCACATATCAAATTCTACAGAGTCCTGTTAATGAACTAATTAATGATTAAACTCTGGTTTCTTAAGTAGTATCACATCTACAAACCTAACTTGCATGCTAGATTTTAAAAACATACATTTAAGCTCACAAAGTTATTTTAATGTTTGAAACATAGACTAAATGAAATAGGAGAAGCTTTGTATTTTAAATGAATAAATTTCTTATATCATGGTGGTCTTACTTAAACTTAAAGTACCCATGCTAAATATGGTAAAACCCCTGCTGCAACTTTTGAATCAAAGTTTGAATCATCCATCCATCCATTTTCCGTCATGCTTTATCCCAGCTGGGGTCGCAAGGTACTGGTGCCTATCTCCAGCTGTCTACAGGTGAGAGGCAGGATAGACCCTGCTGGACAGGTCGCTAATCCATCACAGGGCAATACAGACAGACAACCATACTCACACACACACTCACACCAAAGGAGAATTTAGAGAAGTCAATTAACCCAACAGGTCATGTTTTTCGACTGCGGGAGTAAAGTAAGTAAAGTAAACTTTATTTGTTTAGCACTTTTCACAGACAAAGTCACAAAGTGCTTCACATGATAACATAAAAACAACACAAGTAAAAACAGATAAAATGCAATAAAAGCTATAATAAATAAGGGAGGAAGCCAGGGGTACCCGGAGAGAACCCACGCATGTACAGGGAGAACATGCAGAAAGACCCCAGGTCGGGAATCAAACCCGGAACCTTCTTCCCGCAAGGCAGCAGTGATACCCACTGCTCCACTGAGCAGTCCACTAGTTTGGATCAGTGATCTTCAACTCCATAACAGACACTATCCTGCAGCTTTGAGATGTCAGTCAACCTGTGTAAACTAGCTTAGTTACCTATCTAGCATATCAAGAGCTGCAGGCTTCTATGCAGGATTTATGATTAGAGTTGAAGACCACAGGTTTGGATCAAAGCAAATAGATGTTAGAATAGTCTAATCCAAGTTCAAATGTAAATACAGTAAGAATCAGTGTCAGTGTTTGGAAATTGCATTTTTCATGAACCAAAAATTTAACTGAACTGAGTTTAAGCGTTTTCTTGATATGAATAGATGGTAAATACATAACCCTGAAAAAATAAATAAATCCTGGGTTCTGTTTTGACTCAAGGGGTGAGCTTACAAATGCCCCTCTATACATATGTACTGATAAATAAAATTATGAATTTCTTTTTGCTCGTCAAAAAAGAATGGAGTTAAATATATTGGACTTTTTGGTTTTAATGTCACCAACTAACAAATTTAAGGAGTATAAATATTTTGTTGCTGCGCTCAAATCTTTTATTAGTTGTGCTTATTCATATGTCTGTAGATTGAACCCTATCTGCCAACTTAGCATACTGCTGCACCTATTTCTCACTACCGGAGTCAAATTTAGCTTTGCATTTATGCTCTGAATGCATCACAGTGGATTGGCCTAGCAGGGAAAACATTGCTCTAGTTGCTGCATGTAACCTTGAGCCCATCTTTCTGGCGACATCTCTAACTGGGGCTCCAGTACTGAGGTTAACACAGACGCTATAATCAGAAGCATCCCTGGCTGGCTGGTACGCGGCTCAGTTTCTGGGTCACTCCTCAGCCCCTGAGAGGGCTTCATCCACATGAGCAACAGAGGGAGACAGTGAGAGAGGGTGGGAGAGAGAGAACGAGAGGGGAAGGTATTTATAGAAAAATGGGGCTTCGCAGTACCTTTCCTTGCAATGAACCATTTCAGGACCAAGTTACTGTGTCCCAGTTTCATGTTTGCTGCTCAGCTAGAGGGTTTGGACCGAGGCTGAGGTTGGACAGCTTCACCAAGGATGGTGAGGCTGACACTCAGAGGCTCTTTGCTCTTCAGCTTCTTACAGCTGCTTTTCTGATTGACAGCACAGGGAAGAACTGGCCCTAAAAATTCACAAATGTGACCTTCTGGGGGCTGGTATAGGTGTAGGTAGGTAGAGGGTCAGGGAAGAGGTGAGTTAGGTCTGGTGGAGGAGCAGCAAGAGGGTGTCCAAGGGGCACTCTTTGGCTGCAGCGACCCCCTGTCTGGGGGTGAGGAAAGGCTGGCTGGAACGTGCCCTGCCGCAAGCCGGGCGAGGATGAGGCGCTTCCTCAGCAGAAAGGGCCGCTTCTCCCTGCGCCAGAGCAAGTCTGGGACCCGGAGTGCCGCCAAAGATTTCTGTAAGTCCTATTTCTCTGAATTGATCTTTTCTTTCCATATGATGATGTTCTTGAGGGGCTTGGTTTGCATGAGGAAAGATAAAGAAAAGCTTCAGTGGAGCACACTATCTGGGACGCAGGGATGAGAAAACAGACAAGTCTGACAGCACTGCTCAGTGTTCCGGGAAGACAAACAGATGATCCAACCATATCTTTATCTATTTTAGATCAATATTTCTTTTTTGATTCTTTTCAATGAGCTGACAGCAGCTTCTTCACTAATTCTTTGATTTATGATTGATATAGGCCGTCTGAAGCCCGAAGTACCACTGAGATCTGGTTTACCCTTCAGCAGATATGACATCATTTCAAAGTCATTTTACTTGACTTTCAAAAACTAAATCCTCTCTTTTGCGACAAATTTCATGTCTGGCTCACTAAAACTTTGATAAGGAATAAAACAACTAAGTGCAGTTTTCACTTATTCAATACCACTGTCTTGGTATGCGTTCAAGTTGTCTAACATCTTCTACTTAAGCATTCAAGCACATTTGGAAAGATTAATGAAAACGCATCCACCACAATAGAACAAAAGACCAGACATGTTGGAACAAGAGGTTGTTTTATACTTTTTGTGCTAGATCTAGTCCTTTACCACTGACCTCTCTCTGTGGTACACCAAATATATTTAATGTATGGAGATTAATTTCAGGTACAGATGAAGTCAAGTGTGTCTACTGGGACACTCTATGCAGCACCAGAATGAGGCCAGCGACCAGAGGAAGGCCAGCGGTTCAACATGTGGTCCAGATAACACTCACAGATAACCTGCTTCTCTTTTAAACTTTTCCTCTTGCTGTGATTTGTTGGACTTAAAAAAATTAAACATTTTTTGTGTTGCTCCAGTAAACAGACCTGTCTACCTGCTCTGCACCCTCTTGGCTCTCTTTGACTTTATTTAGCAGGGCTTTTTTTTTAAATTTTAACATTTTTTGTGTTGCTCCAGTACACAGACCTGTCTACCTGCTCTGCACCCTCTTGGCTCTCTTTGACTTTATTTAGCAGGGCTTTTTTGCTATTGTATTGCAACACTACCTATGGAATCTGATACTTCCCCTTTGTTATCATATTGTGTCTTGGACAGCAGAGCCATGCTTAAGTATTTTCTACCCCTTTCATTAAGCCATAACCACTAATGTATGGGTACTCTGTTGGTATGCATGTAATAGAACCTGAAACGTTTCAAAAGTGGAAGAAAAATGTTTATTGGTTTTTGATTTTCATTTATAAATAAAAGTGCACCACAACACATACCCCAACTACTCCCCCATAATGAGACTCTTAGTATTCAATAGAACTTCATTATGCTGTTATTACAGTTGCAAATCTTGTGGAGTATGGCTCTATCAGCTTTCCAAATCTGGATACCTTGACTGTGATGATCTTTTGTGTAATTTACCTCAAACCCATTCAGATCGGCTGTAGAAGATTTTTTAATAGCATTTCTTCTTTTCTTGACACTGATTCTAAATTAAATTTTGGTTTGAAATTTTAATAATGCCCTAAACATACAGCCAGACCTGTAGGTTATTCCACTCAAA